CTCAGCGAAATCCATATCGATAACCTTGTGGGAGCGGTTTACACAACAAACTTCAGGAGATCCCTTTATGAAGGAGTGTTCCACCCATTACCCACTCCTGTATGTTCTGTGGACATAGAACTACTTCCCCCATTGATGCGCAGACCACCTGGACGACCAAGGAAAACAAGGATTCCTTCACGGAGAGAGTTAAAGGTAAAGAAACATGTCATAGTAAGCAGCTATGGAGTAAATGAATACTTTAGATATTGAAATGTAGGTGATATATGGTTGATCAAAATTGTTTGAATGACGCAGAGACGTTCAAGGAAGGCGGCAAGGATTTGCAGCTGGTGTCTTGGAAAGGGTCACAACAAAGCTTCATGCAAGCTTCCGATCCAGGAAAGAAAATGATCTAATCAGGTGTTGGTTAGGTTTGAGGCAGGGAGAGTCGGTTATGATGCACTTTGAATGCAAGTTTAAGGTCCTTAATTTATTGAGGATCTAAATGTTGCACATTTTGAAGTTTTTTTTTATACATTGTTGTTTTCAGCTTGGCTTCTCTTGCATGCATGCCTTGATCTTGACATTCCGAGGAGTTAGTACGAGGTCTGGCTCAGAGAGCTTTCAAGGGATGAGCATCGGCTTAAGCAATGTCGAGGTAATGATGCCGAGGTCCAAACACTTAGCCAATATCGCAACTCTTTTGGGATCGTATCGACCAACTCGTCTTCCGGAAGCAATAACTTTGAGCTCACGACTCCAAATTCTTTAAAACCAGTTCGATAGTCAAGATGACTCATTCAGCTCAAACTTTTGTGAAGAAACCATCGGATCTTAGGAAGTGGAAGGCTCCCCGGATTGCTCATCTTTGCACCGCATTGGAATGACCGGAAAATCAGCTTTTAGACCGATGTCCATTCCGGAGATGATATCTTCCAAACCACTGCTCCAAATTGAGCTACCTCAGGTGTTCTGAATAGAGCATTCACAGAATTCGAATATTGATGAAGGCTGTAAACTGATTCGAGCTAGAAAGGCATCGTCCCACGTAATTTTTGAAACCCATCCGATCGGCTTTTGGATGCATGCGAGACAGGTGTGTCTTCCGGAGGCGATATCTCTCTAATCACAGGTCCGAATTATGTGATTCCAACTGTTCTGGGATCTTGGCTTGATTATCTCCAACTTTGATGAAGACCCCGTCAACTGATTCGGACTTGAAGATTCCCCGGATTTGAGATCTTTGAGACGCGCGGGTAAAAATGGATTTTAGCCGATAAATGTTTCCCGCGGTAAGGAAAATGTCCGAGAAACATGTACCGCAGTAAGATTTTTAGCCGATAAAAACTCCTCGCCTTGGCATAAAATTTCATCCGATGGAATTTTCACCCGGTAATGATTTTAGCCGGTAAAGACCACCCGATAGTGATTTTGGCCGATGTTCTGATCTAGCCAGTACGAGTTTTCGCCGAGAAATTCCTCCAAGCGGTTTTCACCATTTTTGACCCTTTTCTTCACCGTTTCCACTTCTGATCTTCCTCTTGAGTTCCAAACATCCTCCAAAGTACCTGATAAAGGCTTCAAACCATGCAAAACTCTTTGGGACCTAATGCAAATCCTAAAGCCTACTTTGAAGCCTAAAGACCCAAAATGAATGAGAAAAACACATGAATTAGACTCTAAAATGCAGCCTAAATGATGCAAAATATAGACATATCAGTAAGGCATAGAAATCTTTATAGGTTTCTGAGCACCAGGACGAAGAATTGGGACTTCATCTTCTTCTTCCTCCTCATCACGCAAAGTAAGCTTATAAGATTTACCCTTCACATCCTTACACAAAATGAGGGGACAACACTCCAAGACAACCATCTGTAGTGCATGGAAAAAACCTTGGAAAGCACAAGTTGGCTGGCAGAGGTATGACAAGTTAGCACACCTACTTTTGATGCTGTCAATAGTCAAATCAAAAGATTTACGACCCCAAGGGTATTCAAGGAAGGCGTCCTCATCTTCTACCATCAAGATGTGTTCCCCGTTGATCTTAGCATTCTTAGAAGTAGGACAGACCATACCATCGATGAGGAGTAGGCAAGCTAGTTTAAATCATGTTTCTTTGTCCTTGTATGGTCTTCCGGCAAGTGTGGTGGCTATCCATGCGGGAGTTGCATTCTTCTCAGCCCCAAACAACTTTTTTGTATATTTCTTGACTTTGTCTTCATTGGCTTCAGACGAAGGAGGCAAACTCGAGCAATTCAAACCGGTAGAAATCGCAAACTCCCTCAATGAAAAACGAAATGGCTGCCCAGCAAAAAGACACCAAAGCTCTTTCTTCTTTTTTGTAACGAGCTGCCTACACAATAAAAATTGAAGGAATCTCACAGAAGATGCAATCTTGTTCCCGGCTTCAATCAATTTACCAAATTGAGACGACAACAGTTTATCCATATGGTCTTCTTCTAACGCGAAACTGATTGTGTCAAGATAGTTAAGCTGGAAGTATGTGTTGACCTTCTTGTTCTCCGGTTCATTTCCAAAGGTGAAGAGCCTCTCTGGTAAAGGAGTCATCGTGTAATAACTGCTTAATACACCGTAAAAAATTAGTTCGTCAGATGAACTTCGCACAGAATGTCGAGAACAAATCAATACAGAAATGGAAAACTTATAAAAGTAAATGACTACTATCTACATTTGTAAAAAAGAACTACCATCAAACGAACTGAGTCTGAAAATAATCTTTACAATAGACGACTACCAGTTAATTAAATTGACGTAAAGCTAAATGTCTACATAATAGTTGAATATTCTCCCGACTCAAAGTCCATTAACAATTAACTGAAGGTAATCGACTACCAAGTAGTTAAATAGTCTGCATATATAAAATCCAGAGATCTTTAATCGCAAAAAGGGATATATATTCTTTGGATACGAAACTAAAATTTAAAAATCGACATAAAAGGTAGTCGATTACCAAATAGTTGAATACTATTTAATTAAAAAACCCAGATCTGAAACCGGTATGAGATTTAAACAGACGGATATACCTAAACCCTAAAAGTAGTCGACCACATACAGGGAAATCTGGTGAGTAGGCGACTACAAAAAAACAGTCTACTAGTAGATCTGAAAATAATCGAAACCAGAAACCTTGAAGGAGTGACCTAGAGAAAAATAATCGATTATGCGACAGAATTGAAAGAAAATTAAAGGAAAACTCGATAGTTGAGTACTGTTGGGCAAAAAATTAAAAATAAACTCGAGCAAAGAATATCTTTGTAAAGACACAGAAACTGGAAAAGGCACCGAAAACTTACAGCAGATTTTTAGAAGGAACAATAGAAGGGAGAAGAAATGAACGGCTGGCTTCTTCGATGATTAATGTGGCGGTGGAAGAAATTAGGGCGACACAGAGAAAAGGAAGAAAGAGACGCTTGCGGGAAGAGGAGTGGGAGAAGAAAGAAGGGAGAGAAGATGGCAGACTTTTATGGGAAAGAAGAAAGATGGGAGAGAAGAAATAATGAGTGATATTGAAGAGACACCATTTTATTGCAGTTTTAACTGCTTATAGCAGTTAGCAAGAATTCTCTAATTTATAAGAAGAAATAAAAATTAAATTGGAGAAACTTGTCTTTTACAACCAAAAAATAGGACCACTATTCTTACAAAAAAAACATAAAAAACCACTTATTAATATTAAACTACCCATAGGTAGTCCAGTACATATTACAATAGAAAGGCAATAGTCGACTTCTAAATTTAAGAGGCTGGAGGAAACATGATTTCCGAGATAACTAGGGAACGAAAACATTCCTCGCCGTTTGGTAGTGAGTGAACAGGTAGCAATGCTCACAACACTTCAAGTTATGTTCACAATCGCATTCAGGGAGATCAGTCAAAACCAGGGGCATATAGCACCGACCATCAACCACCAATAAGCTGCCACTATCCATGATCTCCTCTCCAATCTGGATCATATAGCTCATGCGAGATCTCCAACCATCTATATGGTCTAACAGCTTCATTCCTCTTGGATAGTGCCCACATGCGGTGGCACAGATTGCAAGCATCACCGTCGCTGCGTGAACTCCCGCCTTAGCCGATTTTTTGAAATATCTAAGGGAATCTTCGACATCAAAATTAACAATTAGTCTGCTCATACCATGAAGGCACAATGATAATGGGTTACGAGATTTTATCGATGACTCAAAGAATTCAGGGAACTGATTCATTAGACGAGGGTGTTTAACGAAGGAAGAGAGGTTGAGGACCCTGATGACTGCTGGGTCTTTGAAGGTATGGTTCAGAAACTTAGATGAACAACCAAAAGAAACAGCATCGGCTGCAGATTGTCTCCCTACCCTTATAAAGACATCGACCATTACATCACGAATCTGAAGAAACACATCATTTCAAACAGTAGTGGGATTACTTTTCCTGCATGGTTTGAAAAAATTGGAAGAGTTGGATATGGTCAATATGATGGAAGTTAAAACTAGTTATATGCAACAAAGTTGGCTATAGTTAGCTATCTATACAGTAGGCAACTATTTTATAACAATCTATCAAATTGTTTGGGACTGTGTTTACCTTCACAAAAGAAATTGACTATATAATAGAAGCCAAATTTTTCTTTGCACAAGAGTGAAAAAGTTGTTTTATATTCTTGCAAATTGTTCTCTGCAGACTATTATTCACTATAATTTCCCTAAAATCTTTAGTATTGAAGCAATGTGATTTGGAATGAGAATATAAGTTGTTGAAAAGCTAAGGTTGATCACCTTAGAGGTTATATAATTTCAATTATTCTACTGCAAAATTGTGAAGTAAAAAAACGAAAAGTGAATGATGTTCTGAAAAGTACATTTCAAGCTACCCATTTTTTTTTTTTAACTTATAAAATAGGTAATAGATTATAAATAAATCCAATAAAAGATAAAATAAGTAACTCTATAGTATTATTCCCCAAACAAACAAAAGTACAAAACGATATAAGAAGTCGAAATATACGGTTACTTGCTTCAAATTTCCAGGTGCTTGATGCTCTCACACGGATCCATAAGTTCCACGTCAAAATATCTGGTTACAACATCCCTATCCCTACTAAAGCAGCTATCGGGTATCCCTTTAATCTCAACCTTTTTCAGATCATTGCTATGCAGATCATAGCAAAGGAAATAAAAGGGTGAAATCAACTTGAACGGTACAAATATAACTTTGCCTTTTAAAACATTACATTTGGCCATTTGGGCTTCAACCTATTGTCGATGACTAGATGCATCTGTGAATGCTGCAAAACTAGAGTCTTCATCGACCATTCCTTGTTATTCCAATCTTCTAGAATCCATACATCCACCGTACCAGTGTTTTTGAGAAAGGTGAAGTCAAAAATAGCTACTTTAGCACAGTACTCTATTTGAGTCGCCCACTTGTCAACTCTATGTAGCACATCTCCAGCTTTGCGAAGTACTTGAATCATATCAAACTCCTCAGACCTGACGTTGAAACTCACAAGCACCCAAGTATGTGAATCAGTCCAAGCCAAATAATATAATACTCCGTTCATATTCAGCTCTAGTCCATCAGGAAGATGACAAGGAAAGTCCTTTGCAACCCTTTTCCACCAACCACCAGCTTCTAGTACAAAGACCCAAAGCTCTGACCTCATCTCTGGCAGCATTTTGTCTTCTGATACTAGCGTAATTGTGCAGAGTATCTTGTACTGCTCGTTAACAGGGTCGTAGCAGATAAAATAGAAGATGTTGTAAGCATGATCTTCTTCAGCTATGATATTGGATTCTACTACGGCAGGTAAGATCACAAGTTTTCTGGTGCTGGGGTTATAGACACGTGCCTTTTTGTGAACTGTGAAGCAAAGAAAGCCACGGACAGCGCGCAAGTACCAACCTCCCATCTCACGAATGGTCAGATCTCGGTCGAATTCTAAGGAGGAAGACGGACAAGTGCTTGGAGCGGATGATAAGAGCAGAGACTCAGAGTAGTTTTCAAGTTCCAATAAAGTCATGTAAAGACGAGGTTCAGAAGAGGATGGGAGCATAATGAAACGGTTGTAGAAATATCTGGAGCGGAAGAGAGATGACCAAAACTTTGAGATGCACTTGAATTTCATCAGGTAATCTCGCCAGAATCTCCATCAGGAGATCCTGAGGAATCTCTGGTGCGACCCAATATTCCGAATCCTGAATTGCTCCTCGTGTTTGTCTACTTCTTTTCAACCTCAGCCTCCTTCTCTGCTCCTGTCGTACGACTGCTCTTGCAGTAACTAAAGACAGACGAACCATAGCGTCCGCACAACAAAAATCTCCAATTCACAAACTCCTTAATTGTTTAAGGAAAAGGAAAATCTCAAACTTCTTTTAATCGGGGAAACAAAACAAAAAAAAAATAATTCCTTCTTGAAGTGGCGATTTAGGGTTTGTAGAGTGATGACCAAGCTACCCATCTATTGGTAGTGATTCCTAAGTCATGGGAAAACACCTCTTAACCAAAAAATAAATAAATGGTAATGTAAAAATGGGAGAGTTTCAGATTTAACCCATATTTCAAAGTCAAACACCAAACTAACCTCTTTTTTTTTTCTCTCCAACTTTTACCATTTTCTCACAATTTTATCCTTTCCACTTAAACTATTAACGAAAATGCCATTATACATCTATTATTTCGATTTTTCTTTAATTTGGCTAAAGTCTCATTAGACCTTCTAAAGACCTTTTAATTACGAGAATGCCATCTTCTTCAATTTCTTCAACTACCATGAACAACCATGAAAATGGAATAAATGCTTCTCAACCAATTTTAAAGCTGTAATAAGTAAATATTTAAGCTCATTCACTCATAACCTTCCTCATTCTTTCATAATTTCTTCTCTAAAACATCTGGGCTAAGTTACAATACCAAAAGTCATGCATTTTCGGTGATTTCTGGTTACTTAACATCTGGGTTGCTTATTTTTGGTGATATCCTGAGTTCTGAGTGCTTAAAATAACTGTAGCCGAGCTCAATTTTGTAAAAGGTAATCGTCGCATTTCAATTTCTCCATATTTCAGTTTTCATATCGCGAAAGTAGACTTCTCGTGAAGTATACTGAAGTCTACTAGTCAACATAAGGTTATTTTTGCAATTGACTTTTTAAAAGTAGACTTCATTAAACCTCACGAGAAGTCTACTCGATATCTTTTGAAAACAAAAAAAAGCATAGTAGACTTCATTTGAAGGCTTAAGAAGTCTACGAAAGAAAAGAGGTTATTTTTGTAGTTGACCGTATTTTGACTTTTTAATGTAGACTTCTTTCTAAAGTCTACTGTTTACGTCTGCACAAGAAGTCTACTTTTAAGTTACTTTTGTAGTTTGACCAAAAACGTATAGGTCATTTTAGTGTTTGATTAAAGCTTTTTAAAAAATAAAAAATTCAGAAAACTCCGGAAAGCTGCAGTAGACTTCAGAAAGAAGTCTAAAAACTGTAGACTTCTTTGGGGAAGTCTACTTATATTTTCCGGTCAAACTTAGAAGGAATCTTTTTTTGAGTAGACTTCACAGTGAAGTCTACTAAAGATAGTCAATTGCAAAAATAACCTATTTTTTCTGTAGACTTTTATTGAAAAAGTAGACTTCAAAAGTAGACTGTCAGAGAAGTCTACTCTTACATGAAGTCTACAATAAAGGTCTACTTTGTTAGTCAATGGCTTGGTCAAATGCTAAAGTAACATTTTTGGCCGGAAGTCTACTTCTGAAGTCTACTGAAGGAAAAGTCAACAGATTGGTCAATTGCAAAAATAACCTGTTCTTTAGTAGACTTCTTTAGTAGACTTCACTATGAAAAAGTAGACTTCTCCTCCCGTCTACGTTTGAGTCTGCTTTAGAAGTCTACTTATTGCAGTTTTTTAAAAAACGCGTTTTAGGCAAATTTATAAAGTATTTTTTAATTTTTTGGATTAGAATTTCTTCTTAGTAAATGATTGAACTACCCAATGAATTTTATTTCATTTCATTCGATATTTATTGTTGAATCAGAAGTTTCGATTTTTAAGCTACTTAGCTTATCAAAGTAGACTTCAGTAGACTTCGTCTGAAGTCTACTATGGAAGTCTAATTAGGAAGTCTACTTTTTGTATTTATTTTAAAAACACATATCTTAAATATTTATAATGTTTTTTTTAATTTTTAGGTTTTGACATGCGTGTTAGCAAGTGGTTGAACTACTCAATGATTTCATTTGATTTAAGTCGATATCTATTGTGGAATCAAATATTTTCGAGTATATGAAGTCTTCAAACGAAGTCTCCTGTGTAAAGTTTTTTGATATTTATGTGTTTGCTATATTGTGCTTTGTAATTACGTTTGCTAATGTGATTTTTATGTTTTTTTACAAAAATATTTATGAGTTTAATACGTTTATGTATTATAATTATAACTTACAAAAATTTCCACTAATTCAGTTTTTTGTATACATTGTACCTTTAGAGAATTTACTGAAATGGTGGATAAAAAGCCTGAGTTGGTGGTGTTAACTTACTTACTCACTACCAGATTCAAGCATATTTTCTCTTGGCTCTAAAAAAATTGTTGTTGAACTTTTATTTTAGAAGAAGCAATAGAACTCTTTGATGAATTTTTTTTTTTTGTTAAAACAGAATTCTGTAATTTCTTACATCAGTAGACAATAAAACTTTTTTAAAATCTACTACATATTTTCAGACAAAACAAATTGCAACCTAAGTTCCTTGCTAAGGGTATCAAGTCGAAAAAAAATTACTAACAATAATAAATAGCTGAAAAATTGCAGAACCATTTTATTTTTATTGTGAATTTATTCAGACTACAAAAAAAGACGATAAAAAGATCTGATATCAAAATATTTTGATTTTGATGGAAACAAATGACCAAAATACTAGAAGAGAACAAATTTTGAGGGGCTAGTTCACAATATCGTCAATTTTTCGCTTGGGCCTTTTCAATTTTCTTGATGGCATCGTTAAGTTCCTTCTGGACCTTGGGCCTAGAGGGCACTAAAACGACATCATTCCAAACAGAGCCAGGCTTGCTTAAAAGGCTCGGATCCGGGTAAAGCTCACAACAGCATTGGTGCAGTAAAGCCTAGCGTTATCAACAAGCTCACAATACTTTGGGAATGCAACAGCAAAACTCTTGTGTGACTTTAGCTGAGATTTTACTCTCACTGCTCTCTTCACCATTAGAGCTCTCCTATAAAATTAGCATGATAACAATAGTTGGTGGTAGAATTACTAAATGGGATCTGATGAATTTCAGTATAATATATATCTTTGGATAGAAAAATGATAATATTTACCGTATGCCTCTAGCTACCGCGAGATAAGCGTCACAAACCACACCGACCAGCTCGATTCTGTAAGGCTTCAAGTTTTGTTGTTTCCCATTATCTTCAGTTTCTTGTACTCTCCAATATTCTTCGGTCGTTGTGCCGTCTTCGGAGACCTTGTAGCCTGCGCCCATTCGATATCTCTGTTTGTGGACGTTCCTTGCCATTGTTATCATATGTTCGACGAATGGCTCCCATGATAACGTTCCATCCATTATCACATCACGTCCTTCGTTTAATGCTGTTACTAGTAACGACGACGCTGCATCCGTAGATGATTGATGCACCTAATTTTATGTTAACGAAAATGAATATATAACCACACCCAAAAAAACATGTAACATATGTCATAAGAAGAAGATAATACATATTTCAGCAGTTTGAAGCATACGGTGACCTCTAGAACTAATGAAGAGCTTTTAAAAAGAAATGAACGAACCAATTCAGCAGTTTGAAGCATATCGTCATGGTGACCTCTAGAGCTAAGAGCTCTATAAATAACATCCGTCTCCTTAAACGCATCCGCTTCTATCACCACCGCATCGTCCCCTGCCTCCGACCAAAACGGCCTACAAAATATTTAGTTTTCAGTAATTTAAACTAGCTTGAATTATAGCTATATAGATATATTGAAGAAAATACAAGCAAATTTTGTATGTATGTATCAAGTAAAAAAACTAATTTACTAACCATCACGAGAATCCTTATCGGCATCATCACCAAGATAATATTATTCATTTTGGATGTTCATCATCTTTTGATCATCCTGAGAATTTTAACAATGAATTAAAGTAACTAACATTGAATAGCTTATCAATAAAAGAATTCTCCTTTAAGAAAACTAAGCACGAACCTTCCCACCGTACTTCATCTTCTTGCTAGAGCGTCCTCTTTCACCTGAAAATCAAAATTACCACCCAAGTATTGGCATATTTTTGCTTTTCTCTGAATAATTCGATAAACCATTACAACAAAAATAACTAGGTATCCTAAAGATCTGGACAGGATTGCTTCTGTAATCAGGCTGCTTAGGAAGAGATATCGATCTCGCGGCAGAGGCAAAACCATTGATTTCTCTCGTATTCATCTTCCCACGGAAGATAAAGAAGAGATCGAGAGGAAATACCATACCTTTTAGGTCTCAATGTTCTCGGTTGTGAAGGAGAAGAGAGATGCGGTAGATCTGAAAAAGTCACCCACAGAAGCTGCTTGATTCGCGTTAAGTTGTTGAGACCGGATTGAAAGCGCTAAGTTACTCTCTAGTTACAAGAGAGGACACCAGATCTCTGAGCTTCGAAAAAAATCGTGAGAGAAGCAATAGAGGCCAGAGGAAAGCGCCGAATTAGAGAGTGTTATTCGTTGGTTTATATAGTAGAATAAAATTTCCGGTTAAAATAGATATTTTTGGTTTAATTTGGGTTTAATTTCGGTTTAAATTTCGGTTATGTTAGTTTATTTGGTTTAGCAGACTTCAATATAGAAGTCTACAACTTTTAAAACTTAAATAATAAATTTACTTCTACTTAATTTAAAAACATATATTTCCATTTAGCAATATGAAAAAATAATTTATGTACATTTGAGTTACGATTACGGAATTTATGAATGTAAATTTAATACCAAAATAATTTTTTAAAAATTTTAAAATTAAATTTCCAGATTTAATTACTTAGTAGACTTCATTTCGATAAAAGAAGTCTACTATTAGACTTCTTTTTCTCTTTAGTAGACTTCGTCAGGGTGTAAACGGTAATTTGGACATCCGTTTTTTGTTTGCTCATACAGGATTAAATAGTCTTTTCACTACCCTTTTAAGTTATTTCTGCCAAATGTTTTTTTAGGGGTTTACTTTTGTATTCAAAATCAAGCTTTAGGTTATTTTTAGCAAAAACCCCAAGAAAAATCACCTTTTCTCTATTTTTTTCCTATACTTTTGTTCCTTCCATTTTCTTGTTATTATTATTTTTTTTAACAAAAGCATTGGCGTGTATCTTTTTGTTAATTACCTTTTCTCTAATTTTTTTTCCTATACTTTTGTTCTTTCCATTTTCTTGTTATTTTTCTCTTTTTTTTTAACAAAAGTATAGGAAAAAAATTAGAGAAAAGATATTTAACAAAAAGATACGCCAATGCCATTAATTAGGATCAAACATGCATTATAAATTCGAATAGCCGAGAGCATTCAGTTTTGTCTAAAAAAAAAAAAAAACACAAAACACAGATTTTAAGAGATATGCCTCTAGCGGAGCTCTGTATTTTGTCGGTCGTTGCATTGTTCTGGGGTTTGCTAAGCTATTTTAGAAGCCCGAGTAACGTTTCAAAGAAGGTTCATGATTACGGCTCAAGCGGTATAGGCCTTGGATGGATTATCATCATTATCTTAGCCATATTGGTTTTGCTCTTCATAATCAACAACGTTAACGGTGACCAAATTATGCAATCAGCCGCCGGACAAGCTGATGGGTTTTTGATCTTTGCAAATTGCAATCATCAGCTTCTTTCTCTTAGTGGTTTATTGCGGCTGGAATAACGTTTCAACAAAGAAGATGGCTCCTGATCTCACACCGGTCGTGATGAGCGGTTTAGGAACTGGATGGATTTTCGTCATCGTCTTAGCCATTGTGACTATGATGTTTATTGTGTAATCTGCTTGCGAATAAGCTGATGTGTTTTGGATCCTACTAACCTTGTTTTCCTTTCTCTTAGTGGTTTATTTATTCCAAAAGCTTTTGTTTAGTGTCTAATCAGAATTTATTAGATGCAAATCGAAACTGCTTTGAAAAGCGAACAAGTGATTTTAATTATAATATAATCATATGATTACAGAAAATTGCGTAGATGATCTCCTTCTTCAACAGTCCTACGAACACTTTCCTCAACTCTTTCTCTGGTTTAGCATTCACTTTTCTCTATTTTACCATTTCTTAAAAAAAAAAAAAAAAAAAAAAAAAAAAAAAAAAAATTTACCACTTCTTTCTTGGCTGGCAAGTTTCTCGCCTTTTGCATGTCCTCTGGCCTTATTTTCTCTCTATAGGGAGCTCGTTTTAAACCATAAGTCGCTAGATTTAAGAACGTTACTAGCAATACACAACAGCTTCTCAATCAACAAGAGGAATGTATTACGTATGTAGAGGCCACTTTTACTTGAAACTGAAAAGCTCATCATCCACATCCAAAAGGACACACAACAAAATGATATCACCAAGTTTCTGTGCGCAAAAACAATTTTTCTCTTGTGACTGCATTTGTATTAACAAAAAGACGGTCTTAGAATTACTTGTGCCATAAGATACCTTATTTTTGGCCACTTCCGTGTTGTGTTCGCAAAAATGTCTGTAATCGGCGATGCGATTCTCAATTTGGGGACCTGGTATAGTAATCAGAATAACAAGTTAATAGATACCATTAATCAAACTCTTTTTTAAAAAAAAAATTTTGGGATTTTTATTACTTTTAATGGGACGATTACTTTTAAAGGAAAAGTGTGCCTTACATCAACATATAAAAATCTGGATTAACATGGCCCGGTACAAGAACCGAACACAAACTATTGAGAAGAAGAGTCTCGAAACCACAAATCTAGAGAATCCTAGAACCATGGAAGATACCTTTTTGCTGAGCAGGTGTTACAAATTAAAAGTCTTTCTATTGGCTTTGGTGGTAAGGAACAGAAAGAGAGAGAAGGAATATCAAAACAACCAGAAAAAAAATGGGAGGAAAAATAAAGTAAAAATATAATGTGTCAGACCGGGAAAATTTACGTTGGTATGATATAATTTTCATATCGTAAGGTTGGGAAGCTGGGGTGCGTTGTGTCTTTGCACAAAGATGAAAAATTTGTTTTTTATTCTTGCTACAGACTATTATTCACTATAATTTCCCAACAATATGGTTTTTATTTTAACAATATAATTTAGTGTAAAACAATAGAGTAGCATAGATATTGTAATTAAGAATTCGGCCAAAAAAATCCCAAACTTTTCATTTTTTGCCAAAAAAACCACGAATTATAAGCCTAGCCAAATAAATACTCAACTTTTGTTGACTTCCATAAATAGTAACAAATTTTTCGTTGACTTGCCAAATCAGCACACCGTTTATAAAGTTAACAGAAAATTTAAACGCCGTTAACTCTGATGTTACTGTTGGGGTTAACTCGAAACGAAGTCATTTTAAAATTTTGCGATTTTAAAATTTTTTGCTTCCACTAGGTTCGAACACATGACTTCAGACGCATAAAAGATACTTCTGCCACTGAGCCAGTGACACTTTCGAACGTATAGGTCATACAATTGGTTTTAGAGAAATTTACAAATTATATCACTTTCTGAGTTTAGTTTACACAAAATATCACTTTCTGCTACTATAACACTTTTTCAGCTTTTACATTGGCTATATTATAATTCTATCCTTGTCAATTACACATAATTACAAATAAAATAAAAAATCACATTCTCTCTCTTGTCTTTCTTTCTCTGCGACTACAATATATATTTTTTTCTCTTTCCTCTCTTTCCTCAAACTTATATTTCTTATATTTTATTTTGTTTATTTTCTTTTTATAAAAAAATAATTTTACAATTATTTTTGCACTATCAGTTATATCTATTTTATGCCTATATTTTGATACCCATTTTATAATAGTTTACATAATTATATTATTTATATATATTATATAAAAAATACACACATATATATAGTGTATACATGTATACTATATTATCGTGAAGCAGTATATTCATGCAATTGCATCCACATGTACCATATTATCGTGCAACAGCATGTATGTTCATGTAATTGCATCCACGTGTACCATATGTGCGTGAATACGTTTATATATCCATGTAATTTCGTCCACATGGACCACATGTTCGTGGATACGTCTAAATATGGATACATATACATATCCACGTGGACACAACTATATAACTACATGTATGTTTTATCTAATTATACGTATTACATATAGATAAACTATTGAAAAATGGTACTCAAAATATAGATATAAAAGAGATATAACTGACAGTGTAAAAATAACTATGAAATTATTTTTTTAAACAAAGAAAATAAACTAAATAAAATATAGAGAATATAAGTGTGAGGAAAAGAGAGGAAAGAGAAAAAAAAGAAAATGTTGTCAGAAAAAAGGAGACAAGAGAGAGAATGTGATTTTTATTTTTAATTTGATTTTTATTTAGTCCAAAAAGATAAAATTGTAATCTACCCAATGTAAAAGCTAAAAGAGTGTTATAGTAGCAGAAAATGATATTCTATGTAATAAAAAGACATAAAGTGATATAATTTGTAAACGTTTCTTATTTTAAATTTGATTCCTTCCACCTGGATTCGAACTCTTAACATAGGAAAGAGAGATGAGACTTTTACCACTGAACCAAAGACAATTTGAACAAAATGCAATCCAATTAAATTTATTACCCATATTCGCCTGTTTTTTTTATAAATAAATTGCGGTTTTTGTAAACAAAAAGGCAATCCATATAAATAATAAAAGCAAATGGATTGCCTTTTTGTTCAAAATTGTTTTTGATTCAGTGGTAAAAGTCTCCTCTCTCTTTCCTATGTCAAGAGTTCAAACTCAGGTGGAAGCAAAAAAATTTAAAATCGAGAATTTAAAAAAAATTCGGGCAAAATAAATCATAAAACCAATTGTATGACTTACTGTTTGATGCAATGTTTTCAGACCCGGACCGGACAGAACAGAACGGTTCGACCGGTTAAACCGCGACCTGGCAAGATTTCTGGTTTGGTTTTTGTTCAAAATCTGGAATGCTATTAAACCGCTTAAATCCAGAAAATTCCGCTTAAACCTGGTGAACCGGTAAAAACCCGACCCGGATGGGTTTTTGGTTTGGAAAAAAATTAATAGTTTTATAACTTTATTTATGAATATATGATTTTAAAAAAAAAATATATATAGTTTTGAAAAACAAAATTAGAACAAGATGCAAAACACTTAGAATAACAGAAGATGAAGAAAACGAGGGGGTAGCAAAATCAAAAAATATTGCTAGAATTTTTTACATTATTTTTGGATTTTATGAGATAATTAATATACTTTTATTTTAATGTTTTTAGTAGTAATAACGGTTTGTTTTTCTACATTTTATTATATGGTTTGTTACTTTCTCACCATTATACAATTGTAAGTTTTATAATATCAATTTTTTTAGTAAAAAATTAACTGTTTTAAAAAGAAAATAAATAGAAGGAAAAAGAATATATAATAAAATATATAATTATAAATGTTCAAAAATATAGTTAATATGATCACTATATTTAGTGTATATTTTATTTAAATTTAATTGAAAAAAAATTATACAGAAAAAGATATATGATAATTAATGTGATTTAATGACAAAACTTTTTAGTAAAATTTGTATTTTTTTTTACACAACTGAAAAAATGTAACAAAAGTGATATTCTCTCCGTTTCACAAAGAGTGTCATTCTGACATTTTTCACACTTATTAAGAAAACTATTAAAAATACTATTTTACCCTTTATTAATGCATTAAATAACTTTTTTCTCTAATTAATACATTAAATCAATAGAGTCAAAAATGGAATATTGGTTAAAATTTTGCATTGAAAATATAAAACGACATTCTTTGTGAAACAAAAATAAAACCTTAAAACGACATTTTTTGTGAAACGGAGGGAGTAAAATTTATTAAAAAACATAACAAATATATATATTTAGTTGATCCGCGGTTGACCCGAATTGATCCAGATTAATCTAGTGATCCGGCAATCCGAAGAACAGTCCGAGTCGTTGTCCGGGTTGGGTTTAAAAACATTAGTTTGATGTTAACCCAAACAATAACAGCAGAATTAACGTCGTTAAAAATTTTCTGTTAACTTTATAAACGGTGTGTTGATTTGACAAATCAACAATGAGTGTTATTATTTATGAAAATCAACATTGAGTATTTATTTGGTTTTGATAATTCATACTTTTTTTTTTTTTTTGGCAAAAAAGGAAAATTTTAGGATTTTTTGGCAGAATTCTTAATTCTCTCTCTATCACCACTCTTTCTCTCTCTCTCCCCCTCATCTCTCGCCGGAGGAATCATCCACAACGATGGCCACCGACACCCAAATCCGAATCGGCGTAATGGGTTGCGCCGAAATCGCTAGAAAAGTCTCTCGTGCCATCCACCTCGCTCCAAACGCCACAATCGTCGCCGTCGCGAGTCGCTCTTTAGAAAAGGCCAAATCTTTCGCTTCCTCCAATGGCTACCCTGAATCGACCAAAATCCACGGGTCCTACGAATCGATCCTCGAAGATCCAGAGGTCGATGCTCTCTACGTTCCTCTACCCACTAGCCTCCACGTCGAGTGGGCTATACGCGCCGCCGAGAAAGGGAAACACATACTTTTGGAGAAACCTGTCGCGATGAATGTCGCTGAGTTTGATAAAATTGTCGCTGCTTGTGAAGCTAATGGTGTTCAGATTATGGATGGTACAATGTGGGTTCATAATCCTAGAACGGCTAAGCTTAAGGAGTTTCTCTCTGATTCAGACCGTTTTGGTCAGCTCAAAACCGTAAGGTTTTTTCTCTTTGGTTTCATGGAATTTTGGATCATAATCGAATCTTGGTTTCTTCGACTTCAATATCTCTGGTTCTCAGATTAGTGTTACAGAGTTTGGTAGTATAATATATAGTTCACTCTCTCGATTTGTTCAGTTTAGTTAACACTCATATTAACAACTTGATACTCTCTTTGAATGATTGACATTATCAACATATATTGTTTGCTTCATAAATTTTCTGGCTTGTGTAGTCTTTCTCAGTTTCTTGAGAATTTCACAGTAAAGAACAGTACTTGTGTGGTTTTTATTACTTTAAGTTAAGATCCACAAACACAAAAGCTATTCTATATTGAAATCAAAAGTATCAAAATAGAACATTTTGTTATAAGAAGTACCCATACTCACTTAGTATAAAAATTCCTAATCGGTATAAGACTTAGATAGTCCTAATTAACATGTTATCAACCTTTTTTTTATCACTTCCTCACGCTTTTGGAAGTTTCATTTTGTAGTATTTGTATTAGTACATAGTGTAGTTTATTAACAGTCTTTAAGAGCCATCTCTTCACAAGTCTTATTTCTACACGATGTTGGAATCTGCAGGTACAGAGTTGCTTCTCATTTGCTGGAGACGAAGACTTCCTCAAAAACGACATCCGTGTGAAACCGGGTCTTGATGGGCTCGGTGCTCTTGGAGACGCAGGATGGTACACAATCCGAGCAACTCTTTTAGCCAACAACTTCGAGCTTCCCAAAACCGTCACTGCTTTCACCGGAGCTGTCTTAAACGAGTCAGGAGTGATTCTCTCCTGTGGAGCTTCTCTGAGTTGGGAAGACGGACGGACTGCAACCATATACTGCTCTTTCTTGGCAAACCTAACAATGGAGATAATCGCCATTGGAACCAAAGGAACACTTAAAGTTCACGACTTTATCATCCCGTTTAAGGAGACCGAGGCATCGTTCACCACGAGCACTAAATCTTGGTTCAACGAGCTTGTGACCGAGTGGGTTAATCCCCCGAGTGAAAACACGGTTAAGACAGAGCTTCCACAAGAGGCGTGTATGGTGAGAGAGTTTGCTCGATTGGTTGGAGAAATCAAGAACAATGGTGCAAAGCCTGATGGGTTTTGGCCGAGTATTAGCAGGAAGACACAGCTTGTGGTTGATGCTGTTAAAGAGTCTATTGATAAAAATTATGAACAGATTAGTCTCTCTGGTCGTTGAAGGAAAGTGGGCTCAAATTAGTAATGTTATCATGAGTTCTCTCATCTCTCTTTTTTTCAAACTTTGATCAACCGTTATGTTATCTGTATGCTCGGTCTTTTGTTGTGTCTGTCTGTATCAGTATGTTTGTAATGTATATTGTTTGTTACTAGGTACTCATAATGATTTTTTTCTGTTCTTTTACTCGCATGGATATTGTTTCGGGTTTTTTTGTTATTTGCTTTTCTTAAGCTGTCGAAACTTGACAAACTGTGTCGAGTTTGATACTTTTTTAATCAAATGTCCATTTATATGATGAGTTGAATCGACAACAATTGCGATTAAAGTCGCCTCCCAAAAGGTCTGTTACAATTTATTTGGGAAACCCTTAAAAACACCGATTAAGATAAAAAGGAAGATCAATATTCATGAAACAAAAATCCTCACACACCTGATTCAAAAATCTATGGTAGAAAGATTTCTAAGCTCAAAATGCAAATCCACAACAACGATACAGAGTCCAAAATAGAAAGAGGAAAAGAAAAGCAACAACAACTTTTTTCGATGATCCTCAAATGTAAATGTTCTGTTTGTTTTATTAGGCCATTCATGCTGAGCTGGCTCCGCTTATCTCAGCTGTACACGTGTCTTCACCTTGACCGTCTAAACTATATCAAATCTTCCCCTCCTCGAAGACCTTGACCTCAAGGTCTGAAATCCGGGTACGTGTTGAGCAAGTCATAGTAAAACTCCCAAGTAGCTTCATCTTCGGCTTGATGCAACCACTTTACCAACACCTTAGTAACTGCCTTGCCTTGGCGATTCACCATTTTCCTTTTCAATATGCGTTCTGGTGCCTTCACCAACACATCAACCCCTGCATTGGGTAACTCCGTCGAAATAGAATGATCGCGGACCCGTAATGTCAGTTGCGAAACATAGAAAACCGGGTGAACCGAAGAAGAAGCTGGTAACTCCAGTTTGTACGCCACTTTCCCACATTTATCCACGATCTTGTAGGGACCAAAGTATTTAGGAGCTAACTTCTGGTTAGATCGCAAAACTACTGACTGCTGACGATATGGTTGCAGCTTCACAAACACCCAATCCCCCACTACAAAAGTCCTTTCAGAACGTCTCCTATTAGCCACCTGAGTTCATTCTGTGCTGAGCTCTTATCAAATGAAACTTGAGCAACATCAGCATGTTTTTTCTGTCTCGTAAATTCTGTGCTACCACTGCAACTTTGGACTCGCCGGGTAAATAAGGTAGATGGATCGGAGGTGGCTTACCATACGCCGCCTCATACGGAGTGAGTTGTGTCGCTGTGTGGTAAGTTGTATTGTACCAGTACTCAGCAAGAAAGCCACTTACTCCAGAGATGTGGGCGATCACTACACATGCAGCGTAAGTATGTCTCCAGGCAGCGGTTAACCACCTCTGTCTGCCCGTCACTTTGAGGGTGATAAGCTGAAGAGAAGTGGAGTGCCACACCCTGTAAAGAAAATAGCTCTTTCCAAAAGTCACTCAGAAAAATGGAGTCACGGTCATTTACAATAGAACTGGATAATCCATGGAGTTTAAAAACGGTATCAAGGAAAGCCCGAGCCACTGTAGTCGCTGTGTAAAGGTGAGAAAGTGCCATGAAGTGTGCCGCTTTAGTTAAACGGTCAACAACAACTAATATAACTGACTTTTCAAAGGATAAGGGTAAACCGTCGATAAAGTCCATAGACACATCAGACCAAACAGATTCCGGAATGGGGAGTGGTTGCAATAACCCTGGGAAAGCTGCATTGTCATATTTGCACCTCTGGCACACTACTTCACAACTTCGTATATATGCTTGAATGTCCTTGGTCATTTCCCTCCAGAAAAAAGACCTTTCACCCGTTGAAACGTAGTATATCTTGGATCAGGAATATTTGGAACAACCAGTTTACTCTTACGTCGAAGCACATCCTAAGACCAAGTGTAAAAAGGTTTGCAACCCGGTTTCAACTTCAGCTGCTCAATCAACAATTTAGTCACCTGATCTTGCTCATAACCCTCCCGAATCTTCTGCATTATATCACAATCCGCCACTGACAAAGCCATATGTAGTATTTCCGCACCTTCGACATGAGATAGTGCATCCGCTGCCAAGTTTTCCTTACCCTCCTTGTACTGAATCTCATAGTCGAACTCCAAGAGTTTTGGCAACCATTGTTGCTGGATGGGAGTATTCAAACGCTGCTCCAATAAGTACTTCAAACTGCGCTGATCAGTTCTGATGATGAAATGACCATTGAGCAAATAATGCCGCCATTTTTGCACCGCGAACACTACTGCTAACAATTCCTTTTCGTAGATAGATAATGTCAACTGCTTCCCCTTCAAATGTCTGCTGATGTATGCTAAGGGGTGCACATCCTGCATGAGAACTGCTCCTATCTCCTGACCCGAAGCATCCGTCTCCACCAGAAATGGCCTGTCAAAAACAGGTAAAGCCTAGACAGGGGCTGTAGTTAATGCCCGCTTTAAACAATCAAAAGCCACTTGAGCTTCCTCTGACCAAACAAAGAAGTCTTTCTTTGTAAGTAAAGTCAAGGCCCTTGCAATGGTTCCAAAGTTTTTAACGAAACGTCTGTAGTAGCCGGCAAGCCCCAAAAATCCTCTGAGCTGTTTAAGAGTTGTAGGGGTTGGCCATTCTGCTACAGCCTGTATCTTCGCTGGATCGGTGGAAACCCCTGCAGCTTGTATGAAGTGTCCCAAATACTCCACTTGATTTGTGCCAAAATCACACTTACTCATCTTCGCGTATAAACTATGTTGAACCATCAGTTTAAAAACCTCCTCCAAATGTAGCAAGTGTGCTTCAAAAGAGTCGCTATATACCAAAATATCGTCAAAGAAAATGAGAACAAATTTCCGCAACAACTCTTTGAAAACCGCATTCATCAAACCTTGAAAGGTAGTTGGAGCATTTGTAAGGCCAAAATGGCATTACTATATACTCATAGTGCCCACTGTGAGTCTTGAAAGCAGTTTTATGAATGTCCTGGGGATCCATTCTTACCTGGTGATATCCTGCACGTAAATCGATCTTCAAGTATACAGAAGACCCTCCTAACTCATCCAATAAATCTTCAATCAAAGGAATGGGAAATCTATTCTTCACCGTCAGATTGTTCAATCCCCGATAATCTACACAACCTCCAACTGCCATCTTTTTTCTTAACCAACACCACCGGTGAGGCATAAGAGCTCGAGCTAGGCTGAATGGTGCCGGTTTCGAATAAATCATCCACCTGTTTATCAATCTCCGTCTTCTGGTGCAGAGCATATCGGTATGGTCTCTGATTAACTGGATTAGAACCTTCTAGCAAAGGGATCTTATGATCATGGTTCAACCTGAAAGGTGGCAACCCAGTAGGTTCCTCAAACACAGATGCATACCGTTGCAATAACTGTCCGATTCCCGGGGCAACGTCACCAGTAAGCTTGCATAACTCCAATGAGGGAAATGGCTTGTCGATATCCCCTCCTCCAATCTCAATCTCCGGTTTTGTATATGCGTAGATCATAGAGAGTTCAATACGATCATCCTTGTATTTCTGAAGCTTGGAAGCTTTGATAGACCGCACTGAATCTTCATGAATACCATGCAACACAACTTTCTGCTGCCCCAACTTAAAAGACATGATCAAGTTGAGGAAATCCCATGTGATCGGACCCAAAGTGCGTAACCATTGAATTCCCAACACCATGTCACAACCACCCAATGGAATGACCATGAAATCCGCCACAAAAGTAGTATTCTGAAACCTCCATTCCAGCTGTGAAATCCTTCCTTGAACAGCCAACTTACTTCCATCAGCCACTTTACAACGAGCTGACCCAGCTGACATAACAGGTAACCCCAATCTAACCGCAGACTCTGGAGAAATGAAGTTATGAGTTGAACCTGAATCAATAAGTATAAAGACCGTCTTCTTACCTTGAACACCCTTGACTCGCATGGTGTTGTAATCAGTAACACCCGCTAATGCATTAAGAGAAATATGAGCAATGTCAGCCGTAACCACCAGGGTATCTTCCGACTCTTCCTCGTCGCAGTCGTCAACACCTTCATCACCCTCCAACATATACAACTTCGTCTTCTTGTGCTTAAGATAATGACCTGGAGTATATTTTTCATCACAAAAATAGCAAAGACCCTTTGCTCGGCGATCATTCATCTCTTCTGTGGTCAGCATGTTCTTTGGTGCTGCATCAACCGGAGTAGGTAATAAAGCCGGTTTTGCTTGATTCAACTCCCATGGTTTCTTCGGTTTACCCTCTGCTGAAGATTGTCTCGAGCCATCAAAGGGCTTAGAATGTGTCCATGATGAACCTGGAGTTTTAGCGTTGGGGTGCGCCAGTTCATAGAGTCGTCCCAGCATCAAACAGTGACGCACTGTCTTAGGTTGAAACATGCGTACGTGCATCTGTGTATCCTACCGTAGTCCTGCAAGAAAGGCACTCACCAAATATGCTTCGGAGAGTTTAACACGAGTGCAAATAAGCTCAAACTTCCTATTATATTCCCGTATCCCATCCGTCTCCTGCAACTGCTTCAACTCCGCGATGGGATCATCCAGTAGTTCATCAAAGCGTTCCAATAGCAACGATCTGTACACATCCCACTCTTGCCAACCCACCACTGGAATTTCAGATTCCACCACCGAACGATGCCAATTTCCTGCTTCTCCATCTATGTGAATCGAAGCTGAACCCACCATATACTCAGAAGGAGTTTGATCAATCACAAAAAATTGCTCAACCTTAAACAACCATTCCTTAAACCCAGTGCCATCAAATCAAGGAAAGTCGATTTTAGCTAACCTCGTGATACCCTCGCTCCCCATGCTTTCGCACACCAGCGTCGGTCGTAGTTTGTTGGTGGAGTCTGATGAGTAGGGGTTGTCAGATCTGTAACTGGAGTTAGTATCGGCGGAACCGGTGGAGGGGGTCGATCGGGTGGACGAGATGATGTCGCCATCTTCAGATCCATACTGGTAAACAAGCGAATCGATTCGAACAGCTCTGCGACTGTGCTCGCCATCTTCTCCTACTGCGAAGCGACTGTCGATTCCAGAGCTTGAAATCGCTCAAGCATCTGAGCTTTGAACGATCCCATCATCTCCTCCAAATCGCAAACCGTAGCCTCCTTGCGTTGAGCTTGCGAACGAGTTTCCGCCATTGCCAAGGGTCGAAGTAGCTGCTGATACCTTTGTTACAATTTATTTGGGGAAAACCCTTAAGAACACCGATTAAGATAGAAAGGAAGATCAATATTCATGAAACAAAGATCCTCACACACCTGATTCAGAAATCTATGGTAGAAAGATTTCTGAGCTCAAAATGCAAATCCACAACAACGATACAGAGTCCAAAATAGAAAGAGGAAAAGAAAAGCAACAACAACTTTTTTCGATGTTCCTCAAATGAAAATGTTCTGTTTGTTTTATTAGGCCATTCACGTTGAGCTGGCTCCGCTTATCTCAGCTGTACACGTGTCTTCACCTTAACCGTCCAAACTATATCAAGGTCATTCCCGAGTCAGGACTCAGAGGATAATGTTCATCTGACTCAGCAACATGACATGAACATGAAGAGTGTATTCTTAAATATTTTTTCCATTTGTCAAATTATGATATAAATTTACTTAGTGTTTCACTATAAGTTGATTTGACCTTAAAAAGCAGTCACATGTAATATGTTTGAATAACCTTACGCACAAAATACATCATTGGCATGACGTAATCTGAAGCAAAAAACGGTGACACAACTATGAATCTAAACTCACCAAAACCTAATCTAGACAATACATGACACATCACACATACCGACACTTAGCTAGCCAGCAAAATTTAAAAAGCGAAGAAGAATAAACAATCTCCACAATGTGAACAAAGAAGCTTAAGGAATTTTCTTTGTTCAAACCTAAAAAGAGTTTCAATCAAAAGTAGAAATATTGTCCAAGAACATAAAATTTCCAGGAGAAAACGGAGGAAACTGATACGCCCAAAACTTTTCATCATCGACCAACAACTCATCATTAACATAATCTTGGTTCATGGTATTGGTATGGTACGTGCCTTCGTTTTCGATGGTTTCTTGGTGATCAACTGATACGAGTTGAGGGAGAACCAAGTCAGGCATGAGTTGGTCGAGTCTATCGAATTGAATCATCTTGGAACCGTCTGTGATATCTTCACTAGGCTGCGAAAAAACCGTAACTTGACATTTGTGTTTTCCGATGTAAGTGGTTCTGTACACGGAAGGACTGTCTTGGATCTGCTGCACCCGCTTCGTAGCGTTACAGTTTTGGTCTTTCGCATAGGCACAACGAAAGTAACACCTGCGCAAAAGATCGAAATTATCTATTAGTTACCAAGAATCTTCAGCCAATAAACTCTTGTTCAGTGTTTGCCATAAAACAAAAGCAAGATCCAAACAGAGCATATCGAAACAGAGCAGATCGAAACAGAGCATATTGAAACAGAGCATTACTCTGTTGTTTTGTAATTTCTTCTAACCTTTGGTGGGTAGAAGTTTTGATTTTCTTTTGTCCATACTTCCTCCAAGAAAAACCGTCGTGGTGGAGTGGAGTTGGTGAATCGTCTCTGTAGTGCGTTAAACCGTCTTTCGTATAGCTCTTTCTGCAAACATCGAATATTCAAGAAAACATCAAATCAAACATTTGTGATGATGATGATGGTGATGATGATGATGATGATGATGATGCTTTTACCAAAAAACAAAAACATTAATGATGACAAATGAGTTTTGATTCATTTTTGTTAAAGTCAATTACTTCTTTGGCGATTTCCGAGCAACAAGAGTAGCCATGTTTTGAGAGGAATCATGGTATTGTCGAGGTTCACAAGAAGTGAAGTTGGTAAAGAACGAGAGAGCAGTTGAGAAAGACTCAAGAACGGTATCAAAGAGAGGCTCGGTTGGAACCGAGCTTGTCCTCGGGTGTTCGAGGACCGACTTCAGGCGATTAGCACTTTCTTGTCCATGAAGTAGCGCCTGAACCGCCTCGTCCACGCCAGGAAACATTTTCCCTTGACAGTGTTGAAGGAGTCAAAAGAAGAGAGAGTAATGAGAGTGTTTTTTCTTATTTCGTTTACTTTTGTTGGAAATATTTTGAGAGTTTATCACTGCTTTTATGGGTTTTTGGTTAGGCGTAACATTGCTAAGAAACTGCAAATCCGACAATTTCGGTGTTCCTTATAGTTTACTTGTAGTTGGTATTATAAAAATAAAATAATCCATTAGTCCCCGTTGGGCGGTCATTACCAGACGGTCCAGAACAGATTAGAAGCATTAACGTACATATGACTAACAATATTACAATTTGTGATACATTACAGTTTTTTCGAGCTATATTTGTAAGATTTTCTTTGATTTAATCTTTGTTACATACAAGATTTTATCTAATTTAGAAATGAATAGATACAAACAAAACTTCGAATTCTGATTGAAAGTTTGTATTGTTGTATGTTGATTATGTATCCATATGACCATATGTTACATTAATACATGTAAAACGCACAGTATAAGTTTTTAAAAAAAATTAAGATAGAACTAATTAATTTCTCACTATATTTATTTTTATCTAGTTTGATGCTATACTATCAAGAAAAAATGATAATGAGTGACTGAAGACAAAATAAAACGTCGGGCTCGCCGACTCGGTGGGGACTTTTAAGAAAAATAATGAGAAGGAAAAAGTCGGGCTCGCGACTCGCTGTTATATATCAGAAAGCAGAGAGAGAACCTCCATATCAAATCTTCAATATATAAAAAAAAAAAACATTTTTAATGAGACAAGTGTAATAAAAAATTTAATATTTTATGACTTGTTCAAATTTTGTCATTAGATTTAATCGGCGCCGATTTATGTGGTTTACTGAAGGTATCATCAGTAATTAAATTTACTCACGAATATGAAATTGAATAGTGGATAATACTCCCTAAGTTTCAAATTAGTATATGTTTTAGGGAAACAATTTTTTTTTTTAAATATAATTTATTTTAAGGTTCTATGCAATTTTTTTTTAGTTAATGTCTTAATGATGATAAATTATAACTTCAAAAAAATAATTAAACTATTGGTTTAGCTAAAGTTTAAATAAATTATTAATTATGAAAATAATACAATTATTATTAAATTTTATGTTATGTTCTTAATATGTGTGAAAAGCTTAAAACATCTATTAAATTAAACAGAGAGAGTGTAAATAAGATTTCTTTAATTTTAATCCTTGTTACATACAAAATTTCGAGTGATAGAAAAAAAAAGAATAAAAAAAAGACAAAACTTTTGCTGTTTTTTATTGAAACAAGTGTAAAAAGAATATCAAATATTATTATCGGTTCAAATTTTGTCATTCGATTAAACCGGCATAGATTTATGTGGTTTATTAAAGGTGACATCAGTCATTAACTACAAGTAAACTATTTTTTTGCAGTTATTAAACAATTTTTTTGGTACTTTTGATACTATGTTAATTGGGGTTTTTGCTAAAAATGACCTAAAATTTGATTTTGAATACAAAAGTAGACTCCTGATGTAATGTTTAGCAAAAATAACCTAATGGGGTAGTGAAAAGACAATAAGTAAACTATTTTTTTTGCAGTTATTAAACAATTTTTTTGGTACTTTTGATACTATGTTAATTGGGGTTTTTGCTAAAAATGACCTAAAATTTGATTTTGAATACAAAAGTAGACTCCTGATGTAATGTTTAGCAAAAATAACATAATGGGGTAGTGAAAAGACAATATACTCCTGTATGACCAAATAAAAAAACGGATGTCCTAATTACGGTTTAAACCTTGACGAAGTCTACTTTAAAGTAATAGAACTTCTAACATAACTTATGAAGTCTACTGTATAATTAAATCATAAAATTTAATTTTAAAAATTATAAAAATAATATTAGTTTCAAATTTGTAATCATAAATTAGATATTAGTAATCCTAATGTATATAAATTATTTTTTAATATTCATAAGTTTAAATTTTGTTAATTCAAATTAAGAAGAACAAAATATTTGATTTAGGGTTTACACTTAGTAGACTTCAATATAGAAGTCTGCTAAACCGAATAAATTAACTTTACCAGAAATTAAATCGAAAATAGTTTTCTTAACCAAAAATTAAATCAAAATTAAACCAAAAAATATTAGTCATATATATAAGATGTAACCCTAATTTTTTAGTGGAAAAAAAACTCTCGCCACTCTCTTAAACGGCGCATCACTCGCCTCTCTCGCCGGCCTCTTCGCCTCTCTTCCCTCTCTTCTCATTTCTTCTCTACCCTAAGCGTAGGAGTCACTGCCTTCACTGGGATTAGGGTTTTCACTGCCGCTTTAAAGCTATCTCCTCTTGCTTGCTGCAGATACCTCTTTGCCGTTGATCTTCTCCTTCATCTACAAACATGGGGTACGTTTCTCCTATCGTAGATCCTTTGTCTTGTGTCTCTGTTTGCTCTTTTAGCGTTTTAGCAATCTGTTTTTCTCGTTGTTTTGGTGAATTATGAGTGATTTAGTCGAATCTGCTTTGATTTTTTTTTGTTGGAAATGGTGTCATGACTCGAATTTTAATTGTGGCATCGGACAATCAATGAGTTCTATCGGGATTATGTGGCAATGTGTGTTCGTTTCTCGATATATTTACTCATTTTTTTCTTTTCCTCATGGATCCACAATTGATTATAATTAATTTTGCTAAGTGCTAACTCAATAGATAGGAGCTAATCTGGAGATTTAGAGTATAATAAAACCCATGTGATTTTCTCTGCGCTCTAGTTATTAAAGCTTATGTTTGTTCATATCCTACTCGAAGCTGAATGTTGTTTAATGTGGTGTAATGTTGTAGTAAGACAAGGGTTATGGGAGCTGGGCGCAAGCTCAAGAGACTTCGGATTAACCAGAGGTCGGCTGACAAGCAGTACAAGAAGTCTCACCTTGGAAATGAATGGAAGAAGTCTTTTGCTGGTTCATCTCACGCCAAAGGAATCGTCCTCGAGAAAATGTAACGCTTTTTAAAAAAAAACAGTCTTCATTTTCCTGTTTTTTTGAGTTTCGACATTTTAGCTGATCTGACTTTGTGTTTGATTATGCAGCGGTATTCAGGCTAAGCAGCCTAACTCTGCTATCCGTAAGTGTGCCAGAGTTCTCTCTGCTGAGCTCAAGCTCGCCAGTGCTACCAGACATCTCAGGGGCGATTTCATTGCCGCAGCTGGTTCCCTCCTCGTTGCCGGATTTCTCGTTGGTCGCCGGCACTAAATGGTAAACCATCGTTACTCTCTTTGGTTGTCCGTTGCAAGACTCTCTCTCTTCCATATCTTTATTTTGATTTTTTGTTATTTAAATGTTAAGATGCTCGGGTTGATGAATTTAGTTATTATTACAGGTATGTTATTCAAGCATGTGTAGTTGTCTATATGATATTAGCGGGAGAAGTAATCTCTATTTTGCAGATGTGTGGCAGGGCTGGTCGGCCTCCATTTGATGACACGGGAATGGTTATTATTATGACTAGAAGAGAGACGGTTATATACTGCAACTTTTCTCTGTGCCTGAATCTCTTACTTTATTTTAATCTTCTCTTATCTTATCTGGCTGTGATTTATTAAATGATTACAGGTCCATCTTTATGAGAATCTTTTGAATGGATGCGAGGTTGTTGAATCACAGTACGTATTGGCCGATGAACTTTTTGGAACCCTTTGCTTTTCTGCACATTTTTCAAAAGCTATTTGTTGACTTTCAAAAACATTCTTCTGTTGTTTTTTTTTTGTCTCAGATTGCTGCCATGCTTAATAGAGCACCTAACCGCAGAAATAGTTCAACTTACTGTCAACAAATAGTTCAACTTACTGTCAACAAATAGTTCAACTTACCGCAGAAACACAGTGTGGGGCATGCGGCCGATGAGTTCTGGATCTGCTGTGACGTTTGTGAGAACTGGCTCCATGGGAAGTGTGTGAAGATAACACCAGCCAGGGCTAGAGGTGTCAATCGGGCCTTTTGTCCGCGGGCCAGGCCCGTTAAAGCCCTAATGGACGCGGGCTTGGACAACATATATTTTGCCCAATAAAAAATGGGCTTTATGGGTTGATCCGCTGCGGATCGCGGATTAAACGGGTCAACCCGTTGCGGGTATGTGGGTTGACCCGCTAATATATATATGTCAAAGAAAAAAAAACGTTTCAGAAAAAATTAAGACTTTTTGTTACTACTAGAATCTCTTATAACTTAATTAAAAACCTTAAATATAGCAGCCAAGGAGGAAACTCAAAATTTAAAAAACCAGAATATTAAAATTGAAACAAAGTTTCTCAGTTCTCCCGTCAAAAACAACATCTGCTTCTAGTCAATTATTTGCAGAAAACTAAATTCAACAGTTCAATCACCTTTGTAATGGTAAGTTGTTTATTTTTTTAATATTGTTTATGCTTTATCAATTTTATAGAATCTGCCATGCTTATATAAGTTTTTGCAGTAACTAAAATTGAATTCTCGATGTATAATTCTTTTTAATGTATCTTGCATACTCTGTATATATTCATAGGTTTCTCATTCAATAAAATTATAGAATTCCATAAACTTCATATGGTAAACCCTAAACCTTATAAATCTTCAATAAAATTAAAGATTTATTTTCAGCCCGCGGGCTAGTCCGTTTACCCATTGGGCTTGGCGGGGCGGGCTTGGACATAATTTTGTTGTCCGCAATCTTAGTGGGCCAGCCCATCAAAGACCGCAAAAATAAAAATCCGCAGCGGATATGGCCCGTTGGGCGCGGGCTGGCCCGTTTGACACCCCTAGCCAGGGCTGAACACATCAAGCAGTTCAAGTGCCCATCTTGCAGCAACAAGAGGGCTCGGTCTTGAACTAGTTTTTATTGCCGCGTCGGTCGTAAACAACTGTATTATAATCATTAAGTTGTTTTTCTTGTTATAGTCATTAAGCAGAATATCAATATGAAAAATTGTAAAACATATGCATCATGTAATGCAAATTGATGTTAATATATGGAAATCTTTTCAGTTTATCTTTTTAAGGAGTATGATAACAAGCCTTAAACATGATTAAAAGTCTTGAATGCACATATTCTTTTTTACACAATGTTTTAAATCAGCTTATGTCACTTTATCAACTTAGTTTTGTATGTAATATCAACTTGTGAGACTTGTACTATAAATGTTAACTTGTAAACTAGAATACAAAAACATTGCACAAAATACAAGTTCTTTTCCATCTCCTATTTTCAATTGAACTATTCTATATAATAAACACACAAAAAAATCATATTAGCAAACATAATTATAAACCAAATTATGGCAAACACATAGAACACAAATTTTTCTAGCAATTAGACTTCGTGTGCAGACTTCATCCGTAGACTGCTGGAGAAGTCTACTTTTACAAGCTAACTAGCTTATAAATCAAAAAATTGATTTCACACTAATTATCGACTTAAATCAAATGAAAATCATTGAGTAGTTCAACCACTTGCTAACACGCATATCCAAACCTAGAAATTTTAAAAAACATTATAAATATTTTTGAAAGCGTTTTTTAAATAAATACAAATAGTAAACTTCCCAATTAGACTTCCTTAGTAGACTTCTCATGAAGTCTACTGAAGTCTACTTTGATAAGCTAAGTAGCTTAAAAATCGAAACTTCTGATTCAACAATAAATATCGAATGAAATGAAATGAAATTCACTGGGTAGTTCAATCACTTACTAAGAAGCAATTCTAATCCAAAAAATTAAAAAAAATACTTTATAAATTTGCCTAAAACGCGTTTTTAAAAAAACTGCAAAAAGTAGACTTCTAAAGCAGACTTCAAACGTAGACTGGAGGAGAAGTCTACTTTTTCATAGTGAAGTCTACTAAAGAAGTCTACTAAAAAACAGGTTATTTTTGCAATTGACCAATCCATTGACTTTTCCTTCAGTAGACTTCAGAAGTAGACTTCCGGCCAAAAAGGTTACTTTAGCATTTGACCGATGCATTGACTAACAAAGTAGACTTCTATTGTAGACTTCATGTAAAAGTAGACTTCTCTGACAGTCTACTTTTGAAGTCTACTTTTTCAATAGAAGTCTACGAAAAAAAATGTTATTTTTGCAATTGAATTTTTTGAGTAGACTTCACTGTGAAGTCTACTCAAAAAAAGATTCCTTCTAAGTTTGACCGAAAAATATATCTACAGTTTTTAGACTTCTTTCTGAAGTCTACTGCAGCTTTCCAGAGTTTTCTGAATTTTTTATTTTTTAAAAAACTTTAGTCAAACACTAAAATGACCTATACGTTTTTGGTCAAACTACAAAAGTAACTTAAAAGTAGACTTCTTGTGCAGACGTAAACAGTAGACTTTAAAAAGAAGTCTACATTAAAAAGTCAAAATACGGTCAACTACAAAAATAACCTCTTTTCTTTCGTAGACTTCTTAAGCCTTCAAATGAAGTCTACTATGTTTTTTTTGTTTTCAAAGGATATCGAGTAGACTTCTCGTGAGGTTTAATGAAGTCTACTTTTAAAAAGCAATTGCAAAAATAACCTTATGTTGACTAGTAGACTTCAGTATACTTCACGAGAAGTCTACTTTCGCGATATGAAAACTGAAATATGGAAAAATTGAAGTGCGACGATTACCTTTAACAAAATTGAGCTTGGCTACAGTTCTTTTAAGCACCCAGAACTCAGGATTTCACCAAAAATAAGCAACCCAGATGTTAGGTAACCAGAAATCACCAAAAATGCATGACTTTTGGCATTGTAACTTAGCCCAGATGTTTTGGAGAAGAAATTATGAAAGAATGAGGAAGGTTATGAGTGAATGAGCTCACTACTTATTACAGCTTTAAAATTGGTTGAGAATCATTTATTCCATTTTCATGGTTGTTCATGGTGGTTGAACAAATTGAAGAAGATGGCATTCTCGTAATAAAAAGGTCTTTAGAAGGTCCAATGAGACTTTAGCCAAATTAAAGAAAAATCGAAATAATAGATGTATAATAGCATTTTCGTTAATAGTTTAAGTGAGAAGGATAAAATTGTGAGAAAATGGCAAAAGTTGGAGAGAGAAAAAAAAAGAGGTTAGTTTTGTGTTTGACTTTGAAATATGAGTTAAATCTGAAACTCTCTCATGTTAATTAAACTATTAAACTAGGTAATTAAACAATTTTTTTGGTACTTTTGATACTATGTTAAGCTTCATCTTTAAAATAGTCATTATTTATATATATTAAATTTATTAGATTATTGTAATTCTTCATTCTCTCTAGCCAGAAATTTCTTTTTCTTTTATCGGAATTGTCTCTTATTCTTTTCTGTTTTTATATTTCATGCAAGTGGATACAAAACTATAATATCAGAACGTAAATAAACAATTCATTTGTTAGCTTTTATATCATGATAAGTTTTAAAATTGAATTAGTCATTATTTTATACATTATTTTGATAGATGAATTTATGTCCATTCTCACGTAGTCCAATTTCTTTTTACACAAAAAGACAATTAAATCAATAATAAAAAAACTGCAGACTTTAGAATGAAATAGATCGCAGATAAATTTAGAATTGGACTTTAATGATTCAATTAGAATGAAGTATAATACATCATTTTTAAAATACATGTAGGATAAATAAACAACCAATTAAATACATCAAAAAATCGTCACATAGGTTAGAAAATAAACTAACAATATATCAGCACAAAAATATACATAAAATCGCTGTGAGAACGACACATCAGATTTCTCGTTTCACAAATAATAGTATAGATAAAAAAACCTGTATAGTTAGTAAAATTTGTAAATTTTCATTAGAAATTGTATAGTTGCATACAAGATCTTGAGGGACAGGTTTTGGGCGAATCAGTTCCTCCGTTTTCTCCTGGAAATTTTATGTTCTTGGACGATATTTCTACTTTTGATTATACCCTTTTCAGATTACATGTGACTGCTTTTTAAGGTCAAATAAACTATAGAGAATCTATATATATTTATAATCATAATTTGACAAATGGAAAAATATAAAAGATTACATTTTTCATGTTATGTAGCTGAGTCAGATGAACATTATCCGAGTCATTGTTTCAAAAAAAAACTTTATCCGAGTCCCGATTTGGGAATGACCTAGTAGGAAGCAAATCTTAATCGCAATTGCTGTCGATTCAACTCTATTAATGGACACTTAAATAAAAAATAAACTTGACACAGTTTGTCAAATTTTGACAGCTTAAGATATGCAAATAAGTGTATTTTGATGATGGACACGACTCATGACCTAATCCATGCGAGTAGAAGAAAAAAAAAATTATTAGCTTTCTTTTCGGCCAATTCTTTTAGCCTACTTATGAGTTCCAAGTATTTTATCTTTCTTTATAACGGGAGAAGCTAAAATATTATATTATTAGGTGTGTTGTCCGCGATATGCGCGGACTGAGTGTTTTTAAAACAATAATGTTTTATTAATTAATCTTACAGTTTCTCTTTAACCAAACTCTATCACAAAAATGTAAAACCATCGACACAAAGGTCACTAAATATATCAACGATGCGTAAAATTCTCTACAAAAAGATCTGAAAATACAATGGTTGGTGTTTAGTTGCACACATTAACATAAGCTAAAAAAAGCAGATTATATAACATAACAAAGAATTTTAAAAACGGTAAAAGCATAAATAAATATTTCAGTGTATAGCTTAATTTCTGAAATTACGATAATCATACGTTATAGTAGAGAGTCTAAACATATGAAATCCAAAAAAATTGATTGTTGAAAATAACATCACAAACCAATTTAAAACCAATTTAAAAGAAAAAAAAATATTACAAAATGTCAATTGTTTGAAAGATATCTTTGTAAACCACATTCATTGTTTTCTATTGCGGCTTTCTCTTTTCATCACTTATCAAAATACGTAGTCATGTGAGAAAACTGGTTTAGATAAGAATAAACCAACATATTGTAAAGTTTAATCTTGACTTTTATTGTTATAGCAAATGTGATTGCAATGCCTACGACGCGTTTTGAAATAGAACATTGCTTCTGGAGGAGAAACAAACATCCTAGGAATCAAAACTCTCTTGCCAATTTTTTTTACCACTTAAATGGCTAACCTCAATCACATGTTTAGCCTATCTGGTCACCAATAACCTTGTTCCATTACACAAACTACCTCTACGATCAATATTTCTAAGTAGTATGATAGAAGCACCAGTTTTCAACTTCAGGCAATGATTTGGCAACCCAGATACT